ATCATCATCATTACCATCACTATCGTCATCGTGATCGTCATCTGCTGGCCCACCTTGCTGGGGTCGTTTGCCTGCGACAATTGGGCTTCAACGACTGAGCAGCGTAGACGCTATCAGAGCAAAGCAGCAATTCGCAACCTTGGAATGTTCTAAACCTATCAACAACTTGACACCCGAGATACTCGATCATCCAGCTCTCAGAAATCACAACTGCTCAGTCTCTCAGGAGGTGAGATTCGAATATTCTGAGAAAACGCGCGACCCGCCCTCGGCTCGAAAGCACGTCGCTAGCGCTTCCGGACCAGAGTTCCCAGGCACCTAGATGCCTTGGGGCACCTGGCATTGCAACAACTCCGCGCCCCGGAAGCCGCAATCCCTCCTTAACAGTGACGGCTTCGCACCTTCGAGGCCACGATCCCTCCGAGCAAGACCGCTCGCCCGCGCCTGCGAGGCCGCGGCCCGCCGCGGCAAAAAAACATGGGCCCGCGCCTGCGCGGCAACGATCCAGCGCATAGAACCAAGGCTTTGCGCCTTCGGGGGCCGCGACCCCCCATATCACAACAGAAAAAAAACCAGGCCACGGCCCCTGGCAGACACGAACCACGGCTCCGCGCCTTCGCGGCGGCTACCCCAGGCAAAACCGATCGACTCGCGCCTTCGAGGCCACGTTCCCCCGCACAAGACATCTGATGGGTTCGCGCTCTCGAGGCCACGATCGTCCATAGAAACTATGGGTCCGCGTCTTCGACACATAGTTCTTTGTAGAGAAAGCATGGACCCGCGCCTTCACGACCGTGATCCCTCACAAAACCAGTCGATGCGCACCTTTGAACCCACGACCCCTCACAACAGAAGCCGGCGACTTAGAGGTCAAAATCCCTTACTGAAGGAATCGATGGGCCCGCGCCTGAGAAACCACAAACGCACGTACGAAACAACGGGCCTGCACACTCGAAGCCACGATCCGTCGGGAAGACTAAAAAGATCCGCGCTTTCGAGGCCAAATTGTCGAGCAACCAACCCCAGGGCGAGACCTGGGGAGCACACAAAAACGAGAAGCGCGCCGCGTCCAAGCCGGCCCACAACCCATGTCGGGGCGCAGGCAGCGGGGCAAAAAGGCCGACGCCAGGTCCAGAGGACAGACCGGAAAAAAGGCAGTACCACACAAGGTGGCACGAAGAAATCGCCCACACCCAAACACACACAGCCACACACACACACACACAGACACACACACACACTTTTAAAAGTCGGCGGCGCACAGGAACCTCAGGCAGGTGGAGGTGCCAATTACGAACGAACTTAGTCGAACGCGCCAGAATCCAGCCACAACCCACGGAGCGAAAGCTCAACGCAAGAAAATGAGGCGCGAACAGCAGTCTGGTGCTAGTTAGAGCCTCAAAGACGGCAAAAAGATCTGCAAGGCTGCCAGACCAGCCAGCTTGATGGCGGCGCAAACACGCAGGGAACTGCGTGACAAAGCGACGCCACCAATCTTGCAACAAGCACGAACACAAAAGCGCCGTTCAACACACCCACAAACAACAAGAAAAATTGACTGAGGTAAGCCCGAAGCGAAGTCCGATGGGGCGACGTTGTAGCCGCCGCGCGTGACGAAGGGGAGACCCCTGGACTGCACCGCGTTCCTCGAAAAACCTTGAGATCCGAATGTTGGGTCCCTTGAGGTCTATGCTGCCCACGACGCACGCTGAAATATCATTAATGATGGCACCGAACTGCTGGGCACGGAAATCGTAGGAGACCACTCCGCTAGCAAACTCCGTCGGGGCGCAGATAGGATCCGCTTAGAAGAGGAAATGCGGCCTGACCAGGATGGCCACTCCAGCTGAGAATTTACCTGTTGTAGTGTTTAGTGCCGCCTGTCCCCAGAAACAGGCCCAACCTTGCTTTGAACAATTCGCCCTGTGCCTCCTGAACCTGGGTGGCCGCTAGCCTCGTTTCTTGCACACATGTCGCACGAAGGGTAGCGCGAGGGAACAGATGGCCAGACAAGTCGGACTGGAGACAAGACCCATTGATCATGCAAACTCTGAAATGCAAAGCCTCCGAAGACTGCGGAGCAGCTCTGTGCACAATTGGGGCCCCATTCTGCAAAAGTCCCGGGGGGGCCCATCACCCGCCGTCCTCGCTCTCACCAACCCTTGGGATGGCGGGATCGGGGTCTCCTGGGACAGGCGCCCTGATGCGCTGCGGTGCGGGAGCGGCCAGTCCTGGCCACGGCCTGCTCCCCTCGACCAACTGCCGCAGTGGCAGGTGGCACATCCGGGGTTGCTAGAAGGTGCCCCTGGCCCAGGGTGCCGCCAGCTTTTCGCTCAATTCTGGAGCCCCTGGGGCCCTCTGGGCCTCGTGAGGGGTGGTCTGGAGGCCGTGGGGGCCTTGGAAATCCTAGAGGCACCTTGGGCTAGCATGGTTTCCTGTCGGCTGGGCGTCGGGTGCTACAGCAGCCTCCCGCCAATTTCGGCTGGGCTGGGCCGTCGTTGGCCCCGACGGGGGCAGACGACCCCGCACTGGCCCTGGGAGCTTTGCCCAGAAGGGCAACCGCGAAACCCCCGCAGGGGGGTTTCGTCGGAAAAAGGCCAGGGTGATGGATCTGCGCGTGATGCGCGATGGAAATCTCTGGACATGGCGCGAATCCGACTCCGAACTGCGGATGCTTAGCCGCACCTGGTCCATGACGGACCAGAGGTTGCCCATTTGCTGGCCGACGTTGCCGAAGCCGCGTGAAGGGCAAATGCGAGCTGTTGCCTTTGCGTCTCCGCTAGCTCCGAGAGCTTGGCATTGGCCTCCACGATCGCCGCCTCCAGGTGGTTGATCATGTCAGTTGCTGCGGATGCTGTGGCTGTGGTATCATTGAGGATAGTATGGCGTGTTGGCAAATTCCTCTTTGTCATCCTCCACAGCTACTGCTGCTTGATCATAATGTTGACGATTTATGCTCCAACTGAATCGCCGCCTTATTAGCACCTCGCTTGTTCCGAAGTGATGTCAAAATTATCTGAACGCATGCCTTGGCGTTCTCTGGAGCGGTCCTCGAAATGTCGAGCATGCCCTTGTTCCACAGCCCATCCTCCCTTCCGTTTAATCCTCCTCCTAATTTTCTTCCTCCTTTTCCTCCTCCTCCTCCTCCTCCTCCTCCTCCTCCTCCTCCTCCTCCTCCTCCTCCTCTTCCTCCCTCCCTCCTCATTCCTCCCTCCTCTATCACTCCGTCCTCCATCCTCAGTCCCTCCTCCTTTTCCTCGTTTTCCTACACAGTGGCCCCCCCGCGGGTCCTGTGAGCAGGACTCCCCAGGCCTGGCCCGTGTACCTCCGCCCTGGCTGGCAGGCGTATCCCTTGGGGATCGCCTGCGCAACAGCGAGGCAGCATGAGGTGGAGGAGGAAGAAGGAAGGATGAGGAAGGAAGGGGATGGAGGGGGAGGGGGATGAGGGGGGAGATAAACAGATAGACCTGTGAAAACCAAGACCCATGAGCGATGTTTCAAGCAAAACTAGCCTGGCGAAGGACCCAACCATATGCAGTTGCGAGAACGGCAATTGTGAATATCTTCTTCGGTGACGCTCCTTATGGGGCCACGAACCGCATGAGGGGCGTGCCGAATTGTGGCGGGGTACACAACGCAAAGGAATACGACAGGTCGAATTATGAGAGAGTGAACGCGGGTGAGTCAGAACGCGAGTGAATCTGAATGTGAATGAGTCAGCGTGCCAATGAATATCCTGGCGTGGATGCGATCATGGCTACGCCTAATGTGAATGTATATGAATTTGACATGTTATGGCATGCCTGTCCGAAAACTCGCGACACTTAGCGTGGCCGCCGCCGGCAGCTTCCGCGGGAACCCCAACGGCAGCGCCCGCGCGCCGCGACGCCCATGTCGGCACGCCCCTCACGAGGATCGCACCCGCTTCCGTTCCTTATTTTCCTACCACTTTGCCCGCGCACTCCAAAAATCCAAAGCTGCGGGCGCAACGCAGCGCGGAATCCCCGCGACGCGCGCAGGTCGCCCTGGAGGGGCCCCAGCGACGCGCGCGGGTCGCCCGCTGCGCGGAGCAGAGAAGCTAGCTGGCTGGCTGATAGCGGGCAAGGCTCTGGCCGCTGGGCAGAGCGACGACGGGCGAGCGCGGCGCTGGGCAGGACGCAGCACGGAGTTCCCACGACGCGCGCCGGTCGCCCCGAGAGGGCCCCAGCGACGCGCGCGGGTCGTCCGCGGCGCGAGGCCAAACAAATAGTTGGGCAGTCGAGAGAAGGCGCAGCACGCGCGGGGCGCTCCTCAGGTCAGGCCTAGCAGATAAACTCGGCGAAGCCGAGCTCCCTGGCGAGGGCCATCGACCCCCTTCTGCGCCGCTTCGCGCGCGCCGCAAACTGCCCCAGCTGCTTTCGCAAGCCCTCTGGCGGCCCCGCCAGGAAGAATTCGATGCGCGGCGCCCGCGCGAGGAGGAGGGCCTCGCGGCGCGTGGCGCGCGAGAGCAGCACATAGAGCTCCAGCCACCAGTCGTCGCCCTCCTTCTGGCCGTCCCCGACCACGCGGCGGCCGCAGTCCAGGATCGCGCCTGGGCGACGTCGGCCGAGGGAGCAGCGCGCCGGACAGCCGACGGCCCAGGGCGAGAGTCCACAGGACCGAGAGAGGGTCTGACTGCGGACCGCTCGCGCCCAGTAGGTTCGTCTGTAGACTGCCCAAGGGCGCCGTTCCCTCGCCCCGTCGCCGTCTCGCAAGGCGGCGCGCCCCTGGCACGCCACCGCGGCGATGACCCCGCCGCGCGAGAACGGGAAGCCCGCCAGGGTGACCGTGGAGGCGCGGAAGGTGAAGGGCTCCGACGCGCGGGGCTCGATAAACACCAGCGGGCCCGCGAGGCCCCCCGCGAGGCTGTCGTCGCGGCGCCCCAGGTCGCCCACGAAGGGCGCGCTCGCGCACTTCCCCACGCGCGCCCAGAACCCCAGCGCAAAGTGCTTCAGATAGATCCTCTTCCCCCGTCTCTCTCGGCTTTCTCGACGTCGCCCCGATCCCGAGGGTCCACGACGATGTGCGCGATCTGCCCCTCGGCATCCTTGACGAGGCCGTTCTCGAGGTCGAGCGCCTCAAGGAGCCGGATCCGCGTGCCCACGTGCACCGGGAGGAGTCCGCGCATGCCACCGGCCTTCTTCGGGTGGGCACAGTTCATCATCTTAGCGGCGCCCTTGACATTCATCGCCGGGGCAGACCTTTCGGTGGCCTGCACGACGAAGAGGGGCCTCTTCAGGACGCCCGCGTCCCGCTGTGCCCGCACGTCCATCCACCGCGCCACGGGGCCCCAGTAGGACCCGATCATGTGGCCGTTCTGGAAGCTCTCCTCCAGGAGCCGACGATCATCGGGTTTCAGCTGCATGGCGTTCCACGTGGCTCGGATGGCCGGAGGGACATTGCGCAGGAACGCCATGAGATCCTTTAACTTCGTGTCCTCGAAGCGGTTGGACGCCTGGAGCTCGAAGCACAGCGGCGCCTTGCAGAGGAGCTTCATCACGAGCAGTTCGCAAGCCCGTGGTCGGCCACGTTCCCGCGGATGCGGAGGATCCCCAGCGCGTCCACGGCCGCCAGCCCGCATGCCGCGGGGCGATCTGGAGCCGCCGCCGGGCGAATTGACGGCGGCGACGACGACATCCACCAGGCCACTCCTCCACCGCTCGTTTACGGCGACCACAGCGAGAACACCGGAAAGACCCTCGCTGGTGGAATGGAACCTCCAGCGAATTCAAGGCAGAATACATTCGGGGAAGAGCGGGCCTTCTCCTCCTCCTCCTCCTTCGCCTCCTCCTCCTCCCCAGAGGTCTGGAGCTGTTCCCTGAAACCTCGAATGTGGCGGACACATACAGGCGGTGGCACTGGGGTCTTCGGTGGAGCTCCCTTTGGGGCCACGAAACGCGTGAGGGTGTGCCGAATTGGGTGTGCGTGACGCATGCGGGCGGTGGCACTGGGGCCCTCGGTGGAGCTCCCTATGGGGCCACGAAACGCGTGAGGGTGTGCCGAATTGGGCGTGCGTGACGCATGCGCGCGGTGGCACTGGGGCCTTCGGTGGAGCTCCATATGGGGCCACGACACGTGTGAGGGGTGTGCCGAATTGGATGTGCGGGACGCATGCGGGCGGTGGCCTTAGGGCCTTCGGTGGAGCTCCCTATGGAGCCACGAAACGTGTGAGGGGTGTGCCGACTTAGGTGTGCGTGACGCATGCGGGCGGTGGCACTGGGCCTTCGGTACAGCTCCCTATGGGGCCACGAAACGTGCGAGGGGTGTGCCGAAGCAGGTGTGCGTGACGCATGCGGGCGGTGGCACTGGCGCCTTCGGTGGAGCTCCCTATGGGGCCACGAAACGTGTGAAGGGTCTGCCGAATCAGGTGTGCGTGACGCATGCGGGCGGTGGCACTGCGCCTTCGGTGGAGCGCCCTATGGCGCCACGAAACGTGTGAGGGGTGTACCGAAATGGGTTTGCGAGACGCATGCGGACGGTGGCACTGGGGCCATCGGTGGAGCTCCCTACGGGGCCACGAAACTGATGGGTGTGCCGAATTGGGTGTGCGGGACGCATGCGGGCGGTGGCACTGGGAACTTGGGTGGAGCCCCCTCATGGGGCCACGAAACGCTGCACTGGGTGGATGAAAATGCCAAATTGAGCTTCTGGGACGCATGCGGACGGGGGCACTGGGGCCTTCGGTGGAGCTCCTCATGGGGCCACGAAACGCTGTACTGGGTGTGCGGCACGCATGCGGACGGTAGCACTGGGACCTTCGGTGGAGCTCCCTATGGGGCTACGAAACGCTGTACTGGGTCAGCGGGACGCATGCGGACGGTAGCACTGGGACCTCCGGTGGGGCTCCCTATGGGGCCACGAAACGCTGCACTGGGTGTGCGGGACGCATGCGGACGGTAGCACTGGAACCTTCGGTGGGGCTCCCCATGGGGCCACGAAACACTCTACTGGGTGTGTGAAACGCAAGGAGGAGGGGGAGGAGGGCCATGAAACGCTGTACTGGGTGAGCGGGACGCATGCGGACGGTAGCACTGGGACCTCCGGTGGGGCTCCCTATGGGGCCACGAAACGCTGTACTGGGTGAGCGGGACGCATGCGGACGGTAGCACTGGGATCTTCGGTGGGGTTCCCTATGGGGCCACGAAACGCTGTACTGGGTGTGCGGGACGCGTGCGGACGGTAGCACTGGGACCTCCGGTGGGGCTCCTTATGGGGCCACGAAACGCTGTACTGGGTGGGTGAAACGCAGGGAGGAGGGGGAGGAAGGCCACGAAACGCTGTACTGGGTGTACGGGACGCATGCGGACGGTAGGAAGGAGGGGGAGGAGGAGGAGGAGAGGAAGAGAACGCGGGGACCGTCTCTTCAAAACGAGGATCCAACACCACAGGATGATTGGGACAAAAAACTCCCGCGTACTTATTGTCACTAAAAAATGCCCCGTTGGAAAACAACCGTTTGAAAATCCAGAACTGTGCCAGAACACCATTCCTGGGATTTCAACGCCGCGAATGACCGTTACTGTTGCGACTTGACGATCATGATCCGTGCCTGAACATCATTACTGGGATTTCGAAACCATGAATCAACGTGACTGTTGCGCCCTGACTCTCCAACATCGTGCCAAAACGCCATTTTTGCGACGTTACCCATGAGAATTATTGAAACTGGAGCAAAATCCTCAGACAGATGTGCGCGGCGCCAAGGCGAGAGCCACATTCTGAAAAGGAGCCGCCATCCATCCGTGAAACTCTTGCAAACTTGTGAAACGAATACGCGCACCGCTCAGGCGAGAGTCACATTTTGAAAAGGAACCGCACTCCGTCCGTGAAACTCTTGCAAACTTCAAAGACGAGGGCAAGACACCATACGACACACTTTCAGTACACTTTCAGTACAGCATCGCTCAAGAAGTACCCTCCTTAGCCCTGCGAGAGGTTGGCAAGACGTTTCAACACCTAACGCTCGACACCTCTGACGCAAATGAAGAGCATTCCACCCGCATCGAAGTTCACAACAACTGCAAGGAGGGTGACGACGGCAACCTCTGGACAACCGCCTACAGCGTCGACGATGCTGGCGAAACTGATGTGCATCCAAATGCCCGCCCTATGCCCGCGCAGGGAGTATGCCTTACGCAACCATCACTGAGAGTGACCACACAAATCTCCCCTGACTTTTTGAAGTCCGCGGGCGCCAAGTGGTCCAAGACATTCAGACGCCGGTCAAGTACGCGGTGGGGCACGGGAGCGAGCTGAAGCACGAAGGCCAACGAGTACAGAGCACGAGGGGAAGGGGGAGAAACCCGCTCAGACAATGAAAGCTGGCGCGGTGATGCTGTGGTAGGTTTTGCATCGAGCCCCCTAGACACAAGGGCCCGAATTGGAGTGGAGCCACACGCTTGTTTGGCCGACGGCCTCCAGGATGGCCCCAAGCGCCTCCAAGAGACTCCCAAGGCTGCCCCACGGGCGGCAGGGTGATGCGGCTGGCAATCTCGACCCCGTCGTGTCACCTCGTGTCGACAGTCCGAGGCATGTTGGATCTATTCAAACGAAATTGCGCGTTGCGCAGCATTAAAGCGAGAACAACATTCTTAAACATGGGCCCTCCATCCGCGTAACCGTTTCAAATTGCAAGCTTTGTGCACGTGAATCGTGACGGTGACTCCAGCGGAACGCCCAGCCCGCCCTACCGACACGCCGTTTGACGCGAAGGGGAGGAGTTCTCTGCAGGGAAGAGGAATGGAGGAGTAGGACCAAGAGGAGGATGGAGGATGACTGGGAGCAGGAAGGACAAGGAGACAAGGAGGATGTTGCCTGGGCCTGGAACGAGGACAAGGAGGAGGAGGATGGAGAAAGAGAGGAGAGGAGGACGAGGAGGGAGGACAAGGATGAGACGACGACGACCACCAACACCACCACCATCACCACTTCGACGACGACGACAACGACGACGACGACGACGACGACGACGACGACGACGACGACGACGACGATCGAAGTCCGCTCCCAGACCCCTCCCAGGGTCCATCCTGAGCGATTTTCATCCCGGATCGAGTCCAGACGCGAACGGGGCCCCGACACGGCCCCCAGGGGCCGACGTGATCGAAACGACGCGCAACCCTCGACGACGACGACGACGACGACGACGACGACGACGACGACGACGAGAACGACGACGACGACGACGACGACGACGACGACGACGACGACGACGACGACGACGACGACGACGACGACGACGACGACGACGACGACGACGACGACGACGACGACGGCGGCGGCGGCGGCGGCGGCGGCGGCGGCGGCGGGGCGGCGGCGCGGCGGCGGCGGCGGAGCCGCCCCCACGGGCGGCGGGGGCGGCGGGGGCGCGACCGCCCCGGGCGGCGGCGGCGAGGGCGCCTGGCGCAGGCTCGCGCCGCGGCCCGGGAGGGGGGGGCCCGCGCAGGCGGGGGGGGGGCCCACGCTCTGCGCTCGGGGGGCCACGCCCCCGGAGGGGCCGAGGAAGAACAGGAGGGGGGAGGAGGAGGAGAAGGGGGAGGGAGGAGGAGGAGGAGGAGGAGGAGGAGGAGGAGGGTCCTGGGGACAGGGTCGAGACCTCCAGTGGTACACGCTGTGGACGAAACAAACACAACAAGAACAAAACAACAGCAAAAAACGACGCCGGATGTCTGTCACCTCGTGAGCCATGAACATAAAGAGTTGGTCATTGAAGGTCTCTGGGGATGCTTGGAGGATTCTGGGCCCCTGGGTGTTTCCCAGTAGCCGCGCAAGACGACGGCAGGAAAAGGGCGGAATCGGGCAGATATGCACAAATCGAAATCTTCGAGAGCAGGAGGGTCTGGAGGCTCCTTGCGGGCCCCAGCTTCCTCGTCATGTCCTCCTCCTCCATCGTCCTCCCTCCTCCTCTCCTCCTCTCCTCCCCTCCTCCCTTCCTCCCCTCCTCCCCTCCTGCCCCCTCCTCACCCTCCCTGCTCCTGCTCCCTCCTCCTCCCCCTCCCTCCCACTGGGGGGAACGAGCGGGGCGTGGGAAGCAGACGATTTGCAAAAGCACCCGCTCGTGCCCTGCTGGCCGACCTCCGACGGACTGAGATTTGAGCCGCGGGCCCCCAGAGGTCTCGACACCATCCTGGGAGGCAGCTTCTCGTCCCAAATCCATGTGTGTTGGCCCAGGGGCCCGAGGAAAGCTCCCGCGGGCCGAACCGGAGGAAGAGCGCCGGGAAGTCCAGGGAGGTAGACGGCTTGCAATCGCACCCACTGGTGCCTTATGTGGGCGGGCGAGGCGGGGGGGGGGGCGGGGGGCGGACACTGTGCACTCACGCCCGTTCGGGTCGCAGCTGAGCCTGCCTGCACGGTGGGGCGAGTTCCCTGCAACTGGGAGTAGGCTCCAACTGGCAGTAAGCTTCAACTGGGAGCAGGCTCCAACTGGGAGTTGGAGGGGGACGGGGGATGGCGCCACCCCGTCCCCCGCCCCGGCCGGGAGTAGGCCAACTGGGAGTTGGCTCCAACGGGGCCACGAAACGTGTGAGGGGTGTGCCGAAACGGAGCGGGGTCGCCATACGAACGCCGCCACTGGGGCCTTCGGTGGAGCTCCCTCTGGGGCCATGAAACGCGTGAGGTTTATGCCGAAATAGGGGGGGACGCGTGCGAAAATCGCCAATGGGGCCTTCGGTGGAGCACCCTATGAGGCCACGAAAATCGCAAGGGATGTGCCGAAATGGGCGGCGGGGAGAGGCGCATGTGATCACAGTCAGTGAGGCATTCGGTGGATCGCCCTATGGGGCCACGAAACGCTGTACTGAGTGGCGCGGACGCACGTGGTCACAGCCACTGGGGCCTTCGGTGAAGCTCCGTATGGAGCCACGAAACGCCGTACTGGGTGGCGCGGAAAGCACGTGGTCCTCACAGCCGGTGGAGCCGTGGGTGGAGCTCCGTGTGGCACGCCGCGAAACGCCGTACTGGGTGGCGCGGGACGCGTGTGGTCACAGCCACTGAGGCCGTCGGTGGAGCTCCATGTGGGGCGCCACGAAGTGCCGTGCTGGGTGGCGCGGGACGCGTGTCGTCACAGCCACTGGGGCCTTCCGTGGAGCTCCCTATGGGCCACGAAACGCGGCACTGAGTGCGGAGGGCAGAGGCAGGGATGGGAGGACGGTGAAGAGGGGCGAGGAGGAGAAGGAGAAACGCGGGGCGCTGTCTCTTCCAAACGAGGGCCCAACACCACAGGATGATTGGGAGAACACAGGGTGCGAGGCCCGGGATGGACACTTTGTTGAAACATGCAATGGTCACCGGAGGGGTGATCAACAAACATCAAGCTTAAATCGGAATGAGAATTCAACGATGATTTTAAGACTGCTCGCTCTTATCTGCTCGCGTGCCGTTCAACACGTACATCCCAAAACGATACCCGCCCTCTTCGTCTTCGATCGTATCCCCTTGAGGGTATATCATCTCCCTTAACTGCCACGTGTTTCGTGCAGCCTCTAAAACAAGTGAGGAGAGGATGGATAGGAAAGAGACAAGGAGGAGGGAGAAGGATCGCGCATGAGAGAGAATAGCAGGAGGGGGGCTAGAAGAAGGAAACACGTGGCGGAAGCAGACGTGCAAATCGGGCGGGCAGACCCTAACGGGCGGGTTGGGGAGGCGAGCCCAGGCGGCCAGGTCGAGCAGGCGGGTTGCTGAGGTGTGCGTCCTGCATGAATCGCGAGGAAATTCCAAGCGATAGCGCGATTCCCAAGTAAATCGTGAGAAAGGCCAAGGCAAGAGCGTGATTCCTGAGTATCAAGGTCGCGGCGTTTGAATAAATTGCGGGGGAGTCCCCCGCGACAGCACGACTCCTGCATAAACTGTAAGGAAGTCGCGCGCGAGCGCGGTTCTCAAATATAGTGTGAGGAAGTATCAGGCGGGAGCCGTTGTTGTTGTAGTTCGGGCGCCAGGGGCCCAATCTGAGCCGCAAGTCCTTCCCTTGCAGAACAAACAGGGTACGAGCTCCGGGAGGAGCACTTGAATTAAAAAACACAAGGTGCACCGAAGGGGATCAACTATATTAGGATGCAGAAATCAAACGGCAACAGCAGACTTACTCTCTTTTACTAACATCATTCACCACCACCACCACCACCACCACCACGGGAAGCATCAACCTGGGCGACGAGAAAAACACACGCGAGGATGTCTCTCGACGCGCGCGCGCCTCTATGGCGTCCTCGGCGGACCGTCTAGCCGCGCCGCCGCCCTGCAGAGAGAAGCCGTCCCAGCAGTCGTTCCCCTCACGCGCGCGCCGAAGATTTCGCGGCCACCTCCTCCTCCTCCTCCTCCTCCTCCTCCTCCTCCTCCTCCTCCTCCTCCTCCTCCTCCTCCTCCTCCTCCTCCTCCTCCTCCTCCTCCTCCTCCTCCTCCTCCTCCTCATCCTCCTCATCCTCCTGCTCCTCCTCCTCCTCCCCCTTCTCCTCCTCCTCCTCATCCTCCTCACCCTCCTCATCCTC